AGGCGATGCAGGAATGTGTAACTTTTGGGAATAGGAAGTATTCTCAGTCAAGAGAGGAATTTTCTTTTTTGTCTTCTCTCGCCTATAAGTCATTGTTCATGTTATCATTGATGATCAATGATAACATTTCATAATTAATCTATATATCAATTAAGCTTTATCCATACATTTACATTGAGATAGTTGTAATTGAATATATTTCAATGTACGCGTGTCCTGATTAAAGCTTATTTGAAATCGACTTCTAATTATATTTCGACAACAAAAAAACAAAATGATTTTTGGGCGTATATATACGAATGACTTTCTATTTATAATCATTCAAATTTTTGAATCAAATAATAATAATTTTTCTTTTCTGTTTTAGATTGGCTTCAACCAAACAATATGAAACAATTCAACAACAAATCAGACAATAAAATAAAATGTAGGTATTAGTTTTACTTTTATTTTATTTTACGATCATAAGGATAGTGGGGTAAGGCCTCCTTTGATCTTTTTATTATTTTTTATTTTATTTTCGGGAATAAACAATAAAGAAAAAGATAACATTAGGGTAGGTCATCTCATTCTATTTCATTAAATAACATTGATTAAATTTTTTTTCTGTTCCTTTCAGCTATCAATACCATCGTGTCATCAACATCAGACATGGTAAGTCATTTTTTTTCTTTAAGATGAGAATAGGTAGTGAGATTGAGGTGTTAGGGTGAGACTAAGAAAAGTGAGTGTTAGTGGAGAGTGGGTGAGTCATGTCCATTTAGGTTAGGTCCCCGTTAGTTACAGGCCTTTCGGGTAGGCCCTAAAAACCCGGCCAGGAACTGTCTTGGTGTCCGTGGCACACGATCAGGCTTATTCAGACTCATTGACATATCTCTCGCGGGGAGGGTATGAATGATATGAGTCTGTCATGTGCGTGCATGAGCGTTACGCTCGCCACGGCTCCACCAGGATGGTTCCTGGTCGCGCGCGTGAATAGAATAGACATTCATTTCATCAATTCAATGCGATTTATTCGAGAGAAAGGAAAGAAAAAAACATCTATCGCGACGAGTCTGTTAGATTGAAAAGCGTTGAACACGATGATTATCTTTATCGACGACATAGAGATTGCCATGTCGATCGAAGGACAAACCACGGAGATAGTTGAACTGATTTGCTCCTGCTCCTTTACTATTTCCACCCACAATGACAGTGCCCTGTTTCGCTTCTGTAGGCCAACGCATCACTCGATGATTTCTCGAGTCTGCCACATAGATGGTACCCAATGTATCGACGAACAGTCCTTGAGGATCCGCCAATTGTGTCAGAGCATTCCCTTCCCCTTGACCTCCAGCGACGACAATTCCTTCTTTTGCACCCTTATTCCATTTCATTACACGATGATTGCCCCTGTCTGACACGTAGACAGTCTGTTGTTGATCGACAAAGATGTAGGTTGGAAAGTTGAGTTGATTGAGATCAGCACCTTTGCCATTGCCACCAGCCACAAGAGTTCCATTCTTGTCTTCTATTTGATATCGTTTTACTTCATCTTTGTCGGTGTCAGAGATGTAGAGATATCTCTGATCATCCATGGCCAGTCTACTACACTTGATGTTGTTGATGAGAATTTCTCCTTGAATTGTGCCACTACGACGAGACCATCGTACGACTCGTCGATTGCTCCAATCAGAAATAATGAGACTATCCGTCTCTTTGTCAATCAATACATCGGTTGGTCGATCCAATTGATCCAATCGATTCCCTTGGCCATTGCCACCAGCTACTACTTGTCCATTCTTACCACCCATCTTCCATTCGATGATACGATCATTGTAGCAGTCAGCGATGATCATCGTTTGATCATCACCAACGAAGAGACCGTGAGGCCAGTAGAGTTGATTGGTGGCACTGCCTTCTCCATTGCCTCCAGCAACAGTCACTCCATTCTGTTTCCAACGGGCATCGACTGGAATATTGAGAATTACTACAATGAACGAAAAAGAAAAGGAATCGTCGTTGTCGAAGAGATTCCATCTCTCGTGAGAGCAAGCGCTACAAATATGACATTCATCTTTGAGAATGCTCATTCCACAGATAAAAATTCAGAAGTCTTTTCCTAGTTTCTTATGAGAAAAAAAGGATTTGGTAACGATTCTTACATCTATGTTACTTCTAGTTCTTGTCAAGATCTTTTTGATCATAAAAATAACAACTGGAGATTGTTGTAAGGAGGTTCTCCAAGAAAGAGTAATACTAATTCCATGTAAGTTTTTGATAGAAAAACATAAGGATCTGAGAATTTTTTTCAGAATTGCAAGAATTCAGAAACTTTTTGGCAAAATGATCATTTATATGAACATTAGAGAAGATTCTATCTGCATCTTGTGAGAAGAATATCGAATCGTTGAACAACAAAATATCAAACCTAATCCCTATGTTTTTTAGGAAACCTTAAGGATACATGATTTTCTGTATGATGAATGTAGATCTGCCGAAGAATCTCCTAAGTATTTGCATAGAGAATGCCGGTGAAATTTTATAAGGCTTTTGGTAAGTTATGTCAAGCTATTCGAAGAACAACCGTGATGTACTCTGAGTAAGATCATGAGAAGGCTTGGATACAGGCGAAATTGAACAAAGTTGGGAGGATTCCACGCGAATCTATGTAATCTGAGAGGGTTTCTACTTTTGCAAATGTTGAAAAGATGGATGTCAATCCTAACGGAGTTCTCCAGTGAAAAACATTGGGATCTATGGATTTTATGGGCTTTGAAAAGAAAGTGTTCTAAAATGCTATTTTAAACTTTTGATGAACACCATCTTCAAACCATTGTATTAGGGTCTTCGAAGAGAATCTTGATGACAAAATAAGATACTTTGCCAAAACCTCAAAATATAAAAAATAACGAGTATCTTCTATGAGGATCATGTTATAATCCTTATGTAGTACTTGTTCTGAGAAGTCTTCTGTAAGCTCGCATGTTATGGATATGTTCAGGAGCATCTGAAGAGTAAGTATTTTGAAATGGTTGATATCAGAGTGAAAATGGAGTAGGAACAGGACAGAATGGAGGTGCGTATCTTTAAATTTTATGAGAAAGTTTATAAAGCAATAAATTAATATGCTACTATTTGATATCAATCATAGATTTAATTATGTCCAAAAACTTATGTGTATTTAACCCTCGGATGCCCAAGGTAATTTTTGGAGATAATATGATAACATGTATTCATATTTCTATGATTTTGATTGCTGGACTGGTATTCTGGCCCAAATTAGATTGTTTTCCTCTTCAGTCTTGTAAAGTAATTATTAGAATTATAGTTCTCCTTTATTTAGAACAGTATAATACAAAAAATTCCCTGAACAGAGTGCTCATCACAAAACGATTCTGGGAGGATTTTCACTGAATTCTTCTGAACATAATGAATATCATAGGCACCAGGGCGGATATATATATAATAGAAATCTCGGGACAACAATAATCTTCTCGAAGATTTTGAACAAGAATATTGAAAATAGAGTAGATGCGGTGCCATGCACAAAAAGAATGCAAGAGAGAAGGGATATGCATGAGATGTAAAGTAGACAGGAAAGAAAAAAGAGAAATGTACTAGAATAGATCAAAAAGAGACAGTGAAAATAGATGCATTTTTTTAAAGATTTTGTCAGATTCAGAATAAAAGATGTCATTGGACATCTTATTAGATTCTGAGATTAAGAAATATATAAGAACAGAGTAAAGGACTCTGATCTGATTTTATCTGACTAAATAGGATTCATAAACAAAAGAAAGTTATAGCATTACATAATCCAAGTCTCGTCTGCTCTTATTTGATTCTGTGTGATCTATCATGTTCTTTTACTTATTTGAGAATTGTTGATTCAATAGCTTCTATTACGAAGAAGTGTACAAAATACACAATGTTGTGTTATGAAAGTCAATGTTTTCTATTATTGTAATCGTAAAATCATTTTTGACTTCACAAATGCTTTGTATAATAGATTAGTCAAGGTACAGTTGTATCTTGGAAATTTTCACATAATAGAGAACGTTTTTCTTCACAAAATATTTTGACAGAAAAAATATCGATGTCCAAATTTTTCTAAACCTATCACAAGATGAAAAATTAAATTTTTTTCTATGTATCCTCTACTATATACTGGAACATATATTTTTGTATTCCTTATTTTTCTATATTGATATCATTAATACAGAAATTATTTTATATCATATGGTTTCTTTCTATATTGCCAATATAGAAAATAACATATTAATTAATTTTTTTCTACCATATGCCTGGGAATATTTTTCTATATATATAATTTAGAAAACGATATAATATTTGATTTATTTGAACTTATATGCTTATACATATATTTTTATTCTTAGTTTTCTATACTGATATTGATAATATAGGAAGCTTGTTACCGTAGCCTCTTTGGGGCTGAAATGTGAAACTCACATATATTCTCTAGCCTCATTAAACTAATACAAAATATGTAAAGTGAAAAATCTTTTGTAGACTATAGTTTTTTTGTAGGATAATCGAACATCAGAGTAAGAGTGTTTCTAATTTCTACATTTCGAACAGAAATTTTCTTTCTCTATGGGCACCCTATTTTTTATTTTGCATTGCTACTATTCACTCCTTATTATTCATTTTTTAAATTTGTTTTTCTTAATTTAACATTCTTATTATTATAATCATTGAATTAATTGGCAAATACATCTGTTTTACATATCCATTATATCTATAGCAGATCTTATGCACTATTATATATATATTAAGTAACTCAGAAACAATGATGTTGATTATCTTTTAAAATTATAACTTCATCAACTTTGCAAAAAAACTATAGAAAGTCTGACGCCTGTTATCCTCAATTGCTAAGATCCGTAATGAGAAGTTGTCTGTAATGGAGATGACGGTGGAGGGAGGGAAGGGAAGCCGCAAACATTCGACTTAAAACTTACACTCACTATTTTCTTTAAAAACATGTAAGTTCCCCAAAACCAGTGATATAGATGTATTTCAAACTCGACGTCCAATGATTCTAATGAGAGACGACACTGAGTCTAAACTCTTCTCATTAAAGAGAGTCATAGATTTATAAAAATATCTATTGACATATGATTGTTTTCGTAAAAGTCAAAATACAATTCTTATTTTGAGTAGATATCGATACCTATTCGCTAGTTACATAATCTTCCTCAAAAATTTGTGATTGAATTACTTTGTCTGTCACCTGAGCTATATAAATAGTATAGAATGTATAAAGTGTAATTGGAATATAGAGCTTCATATAAAACAAACAAATCAAAAAAAATTTGTTTAACTTCGTTGAAATCAGAAATGAAATGAATGGAATAGGTCTTTTTCTTTTTACCATGTTCAATCATTTCAATTCATTTTCATTCCAATTATCAAT